AAAAGGGATACGCCGAATTTGGCAAGGGAATAAAGACAATAACGGTTAATCGGCCAAAACCGTTAGTGTAACGGGATCGTGTTCGCAACCGTCAAAAAAAAATAACGTGGTAACACCGGGTTAATAAATTCCACAATTTGATTAGTCGATCATCTGTCGACGTCAACAATTTGCTCACCCTAAAAAAACCATACATTAGCATTTGAGTATCGGGAAGGGAAAACCATATATCTAAAAACAAATTAATAGTCTATTTTCAGATATACGAATTTCCCTTCACGACACACATTTACGTTTACATTTAAATAAACATTTAAATGAGTTGAACAGTTAACGTTAAATCAGATTTCCGTGTTTTTCTCATATTTAAGGTAAATGGATCATATTTATTCGGTTCATCATAAAAGTCAACTATTTTAAACTCTTATGACCTTGAACACAATAATAATCATGCAGTAAAAAGAAAATCGCCGATTTGATAGGGGTTGAAAAGGATGAATATAACGCATTCATTTATGATCAAAAATCTGCAGATATCGCGATTTTAGTGGAGTTGAAAAGGATGAACGTAAGACATTCATTTATTTATCAAAAATCTGCAGTTATGGATAATTCTGGTGTAATAAATGATCTTGGATATTAAATTTAATTATATAAATCAATTTTGAACTTATAAATAAAGTTGTTATACAGTTGTAGTTTTATATATACTTTGCTAATTTTAAACATGACTCTAATTTCTAAATTTAAATTTATAAAAATTTTTATAATTTAAAGCAGCAATTTTAACTACTGATAAAGTATTTATATTTTTAGCTATAATTAAATATTAAATCTAATAAAAATAAGCTTTAAAAGACTTTCAAAAATACTAATGGTTCACTATAGAAATTGGTTATTACAAAATTATCTACTCATCATATACTGTACAAATGTGGTACATTTTTTTGCGCAAAGCTAAACTTATTGCCATTAACATATATACAGGTTCTCAATCAATAATTTTAAATACAAAAAACGCTATAATTACACAAAAAATACTCTCATAGTTATTGGATATCCCTTTATTCATAAATTTTATTCTTAAGAAGGACCACATGTCACCGTTATCTCCTTTCTGCCTTATCATAAAGGATGACGAGCATTCGAAAATTATATAGTAGCGCAGATTGTGATATGAGATTATTAGTTCCATATGTTTAAATTAATTAATTAGCTTATTCCATGTAATTGGTGCAAAGATGACAAAAATTTTTCCTACAGTACAAACTTTTCAATTAGTTCTGCTAATTTAATTCCTCTATCACTTTGAAATGCTATAAATATTATTGCTAAATTATTATTATTAATTTCCAATTTCTTCAACTCTAATACAGCATTTATAACTTCTTCTTTGTTATTTTCATAAAGGTTAATAAATATTATATCATAAGCACGTTCTTTATATGTTTCGCTGCTCTAATACCTTTGTCAAAAGTATCAAATGCATCAACTTTTTCAACCTTTTTAAGATATTTCAACAATGAGTTTCTCACACTTTCGATTGAATGAACAATTAGTTTTTTATAGCATAAGGTAACATATAGCTTATTTTCTCATTAAATTGGGATTCACTTGATAAAGGTGTCATTGTTAATAGTTCAACATTCCACGTAAACGAAAATTTACTTCCTTTTCCCAATAGACTTTCTGCTTTAATTTCCCCTCCATTAATTTCCACCAGACTTTTACAAATTGAAAGACCAAGTCCTGCACCATCTTGCCCCTTTGTTATTGACATGTCACCTTGTGAAAAACTTTCCCAAATATGTTGTATATATTCGGGATTTATGCTATTATTATAAATGATTTAGATGACTAAATGTGCTAAGATATAAAGTATATAATCATAAGTACGTAGCTTACCCAATGCCAGTATCACATAATTCAATAAATAAAATTCCTTTCTTAATCATTTGACCGTAAGTCGGACTCTCGTTGTTTTCGTCAATATATTCTTGTTGTTGCACTGAAATTGTCAGTACGATCTCACCTTCATTAGTAAATTTAACTCTAAAAAATTAAAATTGAAATTGAAATGGCTATGTTACTATTATATATAGTCCATCATCATATGATATTTTAAAAACATCTCGATATTACTAAAATTAATTTTAAGAATCATAGAATTTGATTCAATAATACAGTAATAATAATAATAATGAAAGTTGTTCAAATTTAAAAAAAATTATAGTAGGTACGAGTAATTAAAAAAAATAAAGAATAAAAAAAATAGTTACGAGTTTGATAATAAATGAGATAAGACTAGTTTCAACCTGTTTAATAGGAGTTAAGGTAAGCAAATTTACTAATTGTGCACATTTTGTATATGGTAGATTAGTTAAATCACCTGTCAGGATCACTCTTAACATATCTTGGTAACATTTCCACCTCATAATTTACAACTAGTTCAACCTTTTTAGTCCCAGCTTTTTCTCCGAATGTATTAATTGTGCTATCAAGTAATTCTAATAAATCAAACGTTCTATTTACTAGAATGACTTTTTTCGTTTCTAGTTTTGCTACATCAAGGATATTATTTACTATAGATAATACGATATCAGAGGCACTTGTTATAACATTAAGCATGTCTCTTTGTTCAGTAGTTAAGGTAGTATCTTCGAAAAAAGAGGTAATGCCTACTATTGCACTTAGTGGTGTTCGTAATTCTAAAACAAAATTAGAATTTATTAGCAAGATAAAAAGTTTTAGTAGTAAATGAAACGATAATTATATACCATGAGAAGTATTTGCTAATATTTGACTCTTTGCATTATTTGCAATTTCAGCAGCTTTTATTTGAATTTCCTTCTCCATATTCTCTTTTAACAATCTTGCGTATGTAATGGCCATACTTATTTGATTTGATATTTGTTGTAAAAACTCTATTTCAGAGTCTGACCAAATTGAATTTGGTGATCTATGTACTTTTATCCGTCCCCAATTTTCATTATATAATCTTATTTCTACAGATATTATGGAAACATTTTCACGAATATCATCACAATATACATCTAAAGAAATATCAACACTTGAATTTTTGTTTAAACATTCTTGTAGCTTGATAAATGTTTGTGAATTACTTTTATTATTATTACTGATTTCTGAGAATGGATTAGTTATAGGAGTTAAATACTCTGAATCTTCCTCCCTTGGAACAACTATTTTATTATTCCCGAATTGTTCATTTGAAATGATAAAGATTCTTTCACATGGTAATCTACGATAAATTTCTCTTGCAATATATAGTAATATTTCATCTAGATCTAATTTGGAAAGAAGCATATCCGTTATTGAAAGTAATAATTGTTTTGTATCTTCTTGCTCATATCGGTGAAGTAATATTTTACGACGAAGAAGTGAGAGCTCAATATTAGTGTGAATACGGGTAATTAGTTCTCGAGAAGAAAATGGTTTTATTATATAATCATCTGCTCCTTTATCCAGACCTAAAAGTAAATGTAAGGGGAATAAAAAAACTAATAGGAAACCAAATAATAGTAATAATAATTTAATGGTTTAAATTTACCTTTGATTTTAGAAGCTTCACAAGCTTTTGCTGATAATAATATTACGGGAATCATTAGAGTTTTTACATCAGATCTTAATACATTCAGCAATTCATATCCATCCATATTTGGCATCATAACATCTACAGTATTAAGTTCAAATTAAACAATTCGATTCAACAACAATAATAATAATAAATTGCTAATAATAAATAAAATACTAATTACTTACCACTAAGTATTAAATCAGGTAATTTTTTGAACATTTTTAAGGCTCTAATAGCATCTTGGCCATCACGAGCACAATGTATATCAAATTCACTTAAAAGATCTGCTAAATAATCTCTATAAATATGGTCAATAATAAAGAATGGTACAAAAATGTCTTGTTGACAGGATAACAAAAATTTACCTCATATCATTATTATCGTCAACAATCAAAACCTTATATTTTTTGTTATCTACTTTTAATAGTTTTTCAGTATTGTTGTTTTGAGTATCTGTTGAATATTGATTCATTACATCTTGAGTATCAGATTCATTTATTTGATTATCTGTTGGGAATTGATTCATTACATCATTCTGGGTCTCAGATTCCTTATTTTTTATCCATTGATAACCTTCTTCTAGATAAAGCTGTCGATCAGTATATAAGTCCCGATCATGACTTGTTTGAATTTCCATGCTATCAGAGTGTACCTGGTTTGTTAGCAGGTTATCACATCCTATTGGGAACCAACATTTAAATGATGTCCCTTGATTTACTACTGAGGATACAGTGATATCTCCACCATGAAGTGCAATAAATTCTTTGACGAGAGCGAGTCCTATTCCAGTACCTTCATGACTACGTGTTCCTTGAGATTTTGCATGATAAAATCGTTGAAATATATTTGGAAGAACGATTTCCGGAATACCAACACCTAAACAAAAAATCTGGATATAGTAACAGTTGTATATATCTACAAGTAACCCTCGTTATAGTAAACTCTCGATATAAGTACAGTATAGAGTAGTTTATATCAAAGCCCTCTCGATGTAGTGAATTAACTAAAAATTTACTAATAAACAATTGATATAGTGAAAAAAATCTTGTAGCCCGATAACTTTACTATAACGAGAGTGGCTTATGTATGTGCCTGCACATGACCGAAATTATGATTTCATGCGCTTGAAGTTGCAACCCCAGAAAAGGTGCTAACTTCAAGTTAGTACATAGAATAATATTAACCTGTATCAGACACTTCAAGAACTATCATCTTTTTCCTATCTTTATAGTCAAAATACAAGCGAATAGTTATTTGCCCATTCCAAGTGTGCTTGAATGCATTTGAACCTTCAAAACGAAAGACATCTTAGTAAAAGTGTTTTTCACATGTTTTTAATGAATAGACTTCATAAAAAAATTTTTTATAATACATCAATCTTTTTAGTACTTTTAGAAAATACATACAAAGATTAAAAACGATTGTCTCATACATCTCGCGGTCTAAGTAAATCTTATCGCCTACGGCATGGTTAAATTCTTCTGGTTTTGGAATATCAATACGATAATCCAAATTTAATGTTCTGGCCATACTTTTAAATTCTAAGGCCAACTCTCGAGTAAATTCGGTTATATTAATTTCACGATAATGAGCTTTTAATCGATTAGTTTCTATATCAGAAAACTATATAAGAAGTGAATCCTTTTAATTATTCTAGGAACTAGGTGTACTAATAATTATTCAGTCATTAACGATTACTATATATATATATAACTTACTTGTAATAAAGTATTAATGAGTTTAAGTAATCGACGAGCGTTGCGACGTAACAGTTGAAGATGCGACATTATTGGCTCCTCTTGCGAGCACGCGTTAATTACGTCATCAAGTGGTGAAATCATTAAGGTTAATGGTGCTAATATATCGATATTAAGAAAAAGGGAATAGGTATAAAATAAGTATATTTATAGAATAAATTTTCAAAGAACATTTTAGGAAAATACTTTTTAATTCGTGACTAATTCCTTGGAAAAACACAATTTTTTGATAATTCAAATCAGCCAACATTTTAATTCGTTTCTTTTCCTCTTCAATTGAATTTCCTTGTTGTAAAAATGTATTTATTTGACTTGTGACTGACTAATATATTATAAAATGTTTGGTATTTTAATAATCATAATACAATTAATAATCATATATTATAAAATATTTAGGAATTTTTAATAAGTGTAACGCAATTAATCATAAATTATTACATACTTGTAAAAACCCCATATGATTTTCATCAAGTGTATGAAGTTGATTAATCCCATATATTAAAACAGCCGATAAAGCTTGTGAAATTTTTGTTGATAAGAGTATAGCTCGAGATTTGTCCTTCAAAAGAACTTTCACGTGGTTTTTTCTCTTTAATGCAAGATATATTGGCCAAGATTCGCATTTTAAGAATGAATGAATTGAAGAACCTCGTTTTACTTCAATATATGTATCGTAGTTCTTATTCACATCTTTAACCAAGTCGATTATTTCATGAGTTTCTGGTAGATAGTCAGGAATATTTCGCTTGTTTTTATCATTATCAAAAGTTGTAGCGATTAGATGTGCGGTCAGAGACTCAGGACTAGTATTTAATGTATGTTTGATTAAGTAAATGAATGTATAAGGAATATCTTTATTGTTGCTTAATATTTTTGTTATAACATTGCAGGCACTTTCTAAGCAGTCAACCTCTTCAAAAAAAATATTATGGAAATGCAAACTGTTAAATATATGATTTCAATCCATAAATTATAATAAAAGGAATTATACGTTGTATTTATGAGAACTAACCAGAAATATGATGTCCAAATTCGCCAAGCATTTTTAATATTCGATCATTTATAATTCTTTGAGTAGTTTCTTGAACTAAGCAAAATGCAGCACAAACCGTGCCATCTGATTTGAAAACCGGGCTAATTGTATGGCAACCGAAACACTCTTCCTTATATATTCACCATAACTAAATTCTCCGTATGTATCATTGGAAGATATACCTTTTCCAGTTGCTATTACACTATATAATATAAGAGACGTTTAATATTATGAATGAAAATGCCTTTAAAAATTATTACTTACGCATTTAGTTCATCATTAAAACGACTTTCATAAGGTTCAGGAAAAACATCTTGAAGCCTCTTTCCTAATGCTATTTAACATTAAGAAAGCCGATAAATTGACAATATTGTATTTATTATAAAATATAGAATTATATAGCTAACCGCGTGGATGCTTTGTATTTAACATTCGTATATATGCTATGAGAAGATGAGATTAGATTTAAACTAATCAAATAGACCAGGCAAGTAAACTCTAAAATTTGGGTACCTTTATTGTAGAATAGTATCCAATCTGGAGGATTGATAAGGATACAGGTAGGAAATTTAGAATAGAGGCATAAACTCTAACGTTAAACGCATGGTTTTTAAAATTATATTGAAAAGTTTACGATTTTAAAGAAAATATATATACGCACAAATTACTATAAACACTTACCATAGCATTTTTGAGAGTAGGATCCCATGTATTTATAGGACCAAGTGAAGTTGAAGACCAATCATAATTATAGACCATATTAATAAAGTTTGATTCTTCCCTCTCAACATTATCGCCACTATTAATCAAAGGTAACGACATATAGGCTAGAAATGTATGACAAAGCTATTAAAGACAACAAGAGCCATTTAATTAACAGAATGATCTTTTATACCAAAAATTTGCATATATAAATTTAACAAAACATTTGTATACATACGTCGATATTCAAAAAATGCTATGGAAAATTTCAGAA